CATTTAGCTTTAATGCATTTAGTAACACCAAATGAATGAAAGATACATAAAAAGAGTTTTTTCAGGTGAGATACAGGATTTTGTAAAGGATGACTTCTGCTGAAACCATTTCTTACACCCAAACAACCATTTAAAGCATGCTGAACTTGGACAAGATGTAGAGGCCTTGACTATTGCAAGGAAAAGATCTCTTCATTCCAAGGTTAGCAGCCTGGGATTTCTAAATTGACATCTCATTATTACCACCAAATCCAGATTTTGTAAAACCAGAGAAATACCACAATATTCAGTAAATTCTCTGAAACTATCCAGAAGGATACACACAAAGTGCAAGCTAGCTTGGAGTACGGAGCATCTCTGTGCAAAGGGGTAGCATCAGAACAGATCATGAGGGGAATTTTTCACGTTTTACTACACAACTTCTACATCTCAACTTTTCAAAAACATTCACTCTTATGTTGTTGTATAATGGCTTAAATCTGTACTTAAAATGCAAGCAATAAAAGGCAATGTTAGTAAAGAGAAAAATATGAGCTATTAAAAGGAACTAAATGGGCAACTCTAACAATACATACAGAAAACTCTAATCTCATTTGAACTTTACAATACTAGGAGTTAGGCAAGTCAGATGGTTGGCCGTTTTAGTAAATGAGAAAAAAGGTTAAAAAAATGTTAACCTCTTCCAACAACTGCATTGTGTTTTTTACATGCTCTTCACTTTAGCTTTAAAATTATCTTTTAAAAGGTAAGGTTTAGCTGTAAAACTTCAAAATCAACTGTATCTGGGGGCCCCTAAGTGGCTCAGCCAGTTAAGCATCAGACTTTGGCTCAGGTCATGATCTCACCTTTCCAGAGTTCGAGCCCCTCGATGGGCCCCGCCCTGTACTGACAGCCCAGAGCCTGGAGCCTGCTTCAGGTTCTGTGTCTCCCTCTCTCTCTCTCTCTCTCTCTCTCTCTCTCTCTCTCTGCCCCTCTCCCTCCCTCCCTCTCTCAAAAATAAACATTAAAAAAAATTAAAAAATAAAATAAAATCAACTGTATCTGATTACATAGTTCTCTCAAAAATAAAAAGTATCTACTTAGTTGGGCTTACATATTTAAGAAACACAAAAATAATCATCAAAATGCAATAAAGTTATATAAAACAAAAACCTATTTTTTAATTCTTCACCATGCTTGAAATGCTTAATGACTTCTTGAAGACATTTTATCTTAACATACTGGCTCTAAAACAATCTGAATTTTTAAGTTTCAAGTCGCTGTATGAATAGTTTACTCAAAACACCAGTATTTTCTTAAAATAAAATCTGAAGTTTAAAGGACTTGGACAAAATTTCATTTATTATATGTAACCATACTGTTTACAGACATTAATGTCTACAGATTATATAGCTGTAACTAGTCAATTCAGCAAAGCTTGAGCCCTAGGCTATGAACAGCAGGTGCAAAACTGACTCTAGTGGCCCAGAGTTCACCAGCTATCTGAAAGGCATAATTTCATTTAAAACTCAAAAAAATAAAAGGCATAATTTTACAATCCAAAATAGGGCATGCTTTAAGAAATCATTACAGTACTTAAGACAGTATTTTTTCCTAAACAAACAGACAAACCGCAGGGAAAAAAAATCCAACCAAATGCACAATACATGAGTTCGGAGACCATTACTTCATCTGTATATATAAAAATAACCAAATAGTTCAGAACTACGAAAGAATTTGATTTATACAGCAACATAGAGAAATTTTAAAATATTCAGTTAAAATACTTCTCACCTGGACACTGAATATAATCTGCAGTGTTCTAAAAAAAAAAAAATCTACTCGACACAATATACAACATTGAGGATTTAACTTTATGTGCTCACACATTACAACATATTTAGCAATTGCATTTCACACAAGTTTAAGTTCAGTAACTTTAAAGTTTGCCAAGTAAAGTGCTAAAAATTACTGGAATGCAAGCAGTGCACCTTCAAGGGAAGCAATTCTTCCACTGATCTCAATACACAGTTGATTATTGCAGAGATTACTTTCCGCCACTGCTATATTTTAATAAATACGGTTTAAATTTAAAACCACAGGCTGGGGGCGCCTGGGTGGCGCAGTCGGTTAAGCGTCCGACTTCAGCCAGGTCACGATCTCGCGGTCCGGGAGTTCGAGCCCCGCGTCAGGCTCTGGGCTGATGGCTCAGAGCCTGGAGCCTGTTTCCGATTCTGTGTCTCCCTCTCTCTCTGCCCCTCCCCCGTTCATGCTCTGTCTCTCTCTGTCCCAAAAATAAATAAACGTTGAAAAAAAAAAAAAAAATTTAAAACCACAGGCTGAATACTGATGAAGAAAGGGAGTCCTATAAAGGATTAATATACAAGATACATCAATTGAGGAGCGCCTGGGTGGCTCGGTCAGTTAAGCATCTGGTTAAGATCTGATTCTTGATTTCGGCTCAGATCACGATCTCACAGTTTGTGAGTTCCAGCCCCGCATCAGGCTCTGCTGTCAGCACAAAGCCTGCTTCAGATCCTCCGCCCCTCTGTCTTCTCTGCCCCTCACTCACACATTAATTGAAAGTCAATTGTTTAACTCACTCAAAATATAATTTATAGTTGATGAAACCACAATTTCAGAAGAACCAAGCTATTGAGCTCTCACGCTGAGAGTAATTATTGGAAAAATTTATTAAAAATAAACACATGCATTCAAGGTCATTTAATTCACATATTTTTAACTTCAAAAAGTATCCCCAAACTAAATTATCATTTTCCATCTCAAATAATGTACATTAAAATATTAAATACTTCAATCCCATAAGGTACCAACACAAAAACAAAACCAAATTTATTTCAAGTAGCTGAATATTGAGACTACTGTGTAACATTTAGTCACTATAGTAAGCCAAGACAAAGGAAAAACTGTAATTCATATAACAGAAGCAGCCACTCTAAAAAAGTTTTTCAGGAAATAAAGCCACCTTTATTCTTAAAAGTCAACATAATATACATTCTCTCACAAATTAAAGTTGTTTTCTATGAAATTCAGCAATTTTTTTTTCATAAAACAGTCCTCCAGTTTGGTGCTTCACCATAGTACCCGCAACACTCACAGGTTTCACCCTAAAGGGGTAATTAGGATGGATTTCTAAGGATAAAAGTTCTACATGTTCAGCAGCACAAATCACACAGGAACTCAGCTAAAATGGTGTGAAACTAAAGTATATCTATCTTATGTTTTAGAAGTTATTAATCCCACGAAAACGCTCAAATTGCTTACAAAGCCATTATGTTTGTTTGTTTTTTTAAAACAATTTTAATCTTTATTTTTGAGAGAGAGACAGACAGGCCACTAGCAGGGGAGGAACAGAAAGAGAGGGACACACAGAATCCGAAGCAGTCTCCAGGCTCCAAGCTGTCAGCACAGAGCCCGACACGACTCTCGAACCCACGAACCGTGAGATCACGACCTGGGTCTCAGCTTAACCGACTAAGCCACCCAGGCGCCCCAGAAATCCATTATGTTTTGATAAATGCTATTAGTTTTGAAATCATGCTTTAAAAACCTTGTAATTTCATCAGCTAAAGTCGTCTGAACTCACAAGAAACACACACACTTGGAAGAGACATGATACCAAACAGGAGCAGTAACCACAACAGCACACATCTACCATGGGGAATGCCCAAGGATTCAACACAACCAACCAAAGGGAACTTTAGCCTTCAATCTGAACAATGGTTCCACTAAGATAAAAAGATGTCACAGCCCTAACCCTTACCCATTTCTCCACTTTCTCATCAGTGTGAAAAGATTCTTAAAAGCCGTGAGAGAAAGTGTTAAGAATAATTAAGTAGTTCAGTTACAAACAGTTTAAGAGTCACGACTGTCTTTACTAACAGGACAAAATTTTACCAAATATCCCACACCTGACCAACATTAAGAACATATACAACCAAAATGCCAATATTAAAGTTTCCATTAACCATACATTAGAAAGTTCAGCATTAATAAGCAAAATATTCCATTTAGTTTTTCAACTTGAATATCTCCACATACTTCTTTTAAACTGTGTGTGGCCACTGAATATTTTCTTGTTGGTAACTTCTTCTACTTCTACCTTTAAGTTGAGAACACTACTGAAATGTCACATCCTATTCCAGTACTAATCCTGAGAGCTGAGAATTAGATTGTTATACTTAATTTTTTAAACTATGGGAGTAATAGAATTGAATTAATCCCCCTTAAATACATGACTCTACTACAACATATAATAAGTCCTTCCTCAAGTCACTGTTGATTTAATAAAATTCAAGTCTTCCACCTTGCCTCAACAGTATCACAACGGCTATTCTAAATAACATGAAGTGACTAACAAGGCTCTGAAAAGCTGATATCAAATTGTTTTGAAACTGAAACACACATATGTATACAGTCTGAAGCAATTTTGAGAAAAAACACCCCTACCAAAGAGTTAAATCTATCAAATTTTGAAAAAAACCTTTTTAATCAAAGCCGCAAATTATTTCCTGGCCTGCCAAAGTCCAACACAAAATTTGTACATACAATGAAATAAGTTTGAGGATCCACTGTGAGATTTAACTCTATGCTATATTAGCTTAATAGAGAGCTTGAATAACAGATTGCGACAGCAAAGCAATTTTCTAAAACAAAATGTACCTGAGTATCTAAAAAGGTTTTACATCATCCTTAATGACATATCCAAAATCCACCATTAGGCAAATGTACATCTTTAAATTCATTTTACAGTTCTGTTTTATATATGTAAAAGCGTTCACGCCAGATAAATCCATTACTTCTCTTCAGCATAGCACTGAAACTGTCAGAGACTCATCAAAACATTACTCTCAGGTTAATCAATTTCAGCGGTTACTTGATGGTAGCACCAAAATAAGCATTAACCAAAAAATAAAAGCAGACATTTTTAATAAAAAGAAAACTCCCAAGATAAAGATTAGAAGAATTTTAAAAAGAAAAAAATGTGAAAGGAAGCTCACCTGCAGTTAGGTGGAGGGTCTAAAGTGATGTCTGCCAGTTCCTTCTGAATCCTGGAGTCAGGGAAGTGAGAGAGAAACACAAGAAACATGAAGGCGTTGGTAGCCTCCCACCGGTAATGCACAGGTCTGGCAGATAACTGGGTTGTGTTCTAACTGCCTGCCATGATAACTGGGTTCTACTGAGGGAGGAGGAAAGTACACATCAAAAGCTTCAGGTCCGTAGTTTAGAAAAAACTTTTTTCCCACCGCAGTGAGCTGGCGGTCCGGGGTCTCTTGTGATCATCTAAAATGTTTCGGTTCCAGTCTTGCCTCGCACACTAAAGCAGTTATTTTTCTCGGGGTTTTCCATTTAGGAAATAATTGTAAAGCTTCTCACTCGCCGACTCGTTTTCTAAGTTGCATTAGAATGTGCCGGGACACATTCACTTCTGCGCTGCACGTCTTCTCCCCTGGACCGACAAACGCAAGCCGCCGCGCGGGTGGGAAGGGCTCGCCCCCGCCCGCCCGTCTCCCCCCACCCCCCTCCCCGGTCTCTGCCCGGGTCACCCGGGCACCTCGAGCGCCCTCCGGCCCGCCCTGGCAGGGCGCCCCCGCCAGGCCGCCCCGCGTTCTCAGTGACGAAGCCAACATGGCCGCTCCCCGCCGAGGCCCCTCGGGCCCTGACTGACCTGCCCCGCGTCGCGGGGGTGCCGGCGCGGCGCAGGCCGTGCGCCACAAGGCCGCCCTCTCCGCTGGGCCGCCCCGGGCCGCCGCCCCCCCGGGCTTCCCGCCCCTAGTCCCCGCGCGCCCGACGACTCGGGCGGCGCACCCCAGCCCAGCGGGTGAAGTTGCGGGCCAGGGGTGGGGGGAGCCCGCGCCGGGGCTCTCCGCGACTCCCTGGCTCGCCTCCACCGCGTCCCGGGATCTCCAGCCCCGACGCCGCACGCGCAGCCTAGGGCGCTAACACCCCCGCCGACCCCTCCAGCTAGGCCAGACACCAGCAGCCGGCCCGCACAGGTGCACTCGGCCTCTGTCCCGCACACCGCTCGCACTCTCGGCTCCCCCTTTCCGGACCTGCTTTTTCCCGGACATCCTCTAATTTTCCTTAGGTCTGTCCCCTTCCTTCTCCATCCCACCACGGACACGGAACCCGGGACCCCTCCGCCTCCGCCCCCCCCTTCTATCTCCTCACCAACCCACGACTTCACAAAGAGCCCCATCCCCCACTCCTAGGCCGACGCCACCAGGCAGTTCACACCAAGCCCTGGCCTTTGTCTTCTGCTTACCTAGGTGCTTAGAGCATCAATTAATACGACAAAGTTTGAGGCCTTTAAGTGTCTTCCATCTACTAAATGGTGCCTTCTATTTTTATAACCTTTCTTGTTCCTATCACATAAAACCCTAAAGAGCTATGTTACAACTTAAGAATCACACGGAGGCAGCACAGTAATAAAAAACTAAACACACATTCTAAAGGCGATCAGAAATCACAATGAATAACTTTTCTCTTTCCAAAGGTTTTCTGAGCTGGCTAGATGCAATGGAGAATAGGTTTTAGAAGATAGTGTTTTTTCCAAGTGTGAGTAAAGAGAAATTAAGGGTGGTGATTGGGGAAGTTTTTTAAACCTTCCTATTGGAGGACATTTCCTGTCCCCTACAAATCTGGTCAGTTTTAGGAAGCTGTTTGCTCACTGTCTTTAGGGACATCTACTTATCTGCGTCCTGCTAAGTTCTTTTGCTACCAATAAGCATTTCAGTTCTGAGACCTTCCCAAACACCCCTACTGTTTGACTCATTGTATGTTAGACTAAAACTTTGAAATTCCAGTTTCCTGATTCTTTATCTGTGTCTATTGAAATGACTGCATGTTAAGACCTAGGTATATAGGCAAAAATAACCTCCACCTGAGCACAACTTGTATAAAAATACCTACTGACCTCACTTCTCCTTGTCAATACCAACTCTACCATAAAATATTTACTGAATAGTTAATTCTTTAATACCTAAAAAGCATAATACCAACAGCTTTAGCAATTCACCCCCACAACAAACATTTGCACCATTTCCAGAATTACTGGCACAAGATCTGTGAAGTAACTCATATATATGTTGCACAGAATAATTCTTGTCCAGACCACTCTCAGTGGGGGCATTTCCTCTACCTGTGGACTAGAAACGAAACCACTTTCCATCAAATATGTAGTTAAGTAACTTTACGTCTGCCAACTCAGGCTTCTTTTTTATTCTCTCTCCTGCTATAGTGCCCCTTCCAAGTCCACGGGCAACACTCACCTTCCAAGTCAATGTATTTCACAGAGCAGCTTCTACAGGGTCCTACTAACATTAATTTCCCCCTTATTTTTTCCTGAATACACTGTTCCTCTCCATTTTTTGCCTCTACTATTAATCTTAGCTCTGCTTTAACACTCCCTCAGCAAGATGTCCAGGGAGCTAAAATTGATGTTAACTTTACAGGTAAAATAACCCTTTGTAGCTTTTCACCTTTTTTTTTTTTTTAACACCTACTATCTCTTTCCCAGGCAATTCCAAAAAACTTAACTTACTTAGAATAAATGGACAAGTTGTGTCTAATGAAAAATACACCTCAGTAATTTGCTGACACAAAGGAGGCTATTTTTTATTTGACACCTGTGCTTTTACCCCCAAATATATTCATGTGTGCCGGGGATATCCTGGTGCACAAAAAATACTAATGACCTAAAGCAAATATCCTGCCTTAGGTCAGGTCAAAAGCTGCTCCAGCATGGATGAGGGAGCACAGCTACTGCAGATGGGGGTGGAAAGGGGTAGGAAGTTGGGGAGATTAAGGAAAGCCCCATCTAAAGTGGGCAGGGTAGATGACAGGTTCTGGGAGAACCAGCACGGGCTCATCAGTGAGGGCCAGTTAGGACTCCTGGGAAGCTGACCTGCACTCAAACCACCACTCTGAAAATAAGAACAATCTTGCTAAGGCAATTTTGCCATTTAACCCTAGACCTCTACACTATTTAAGCTAAAATCACTCTTTCACCCTCCCCCCTCCATGATTAGGTCACCAAAGCACTTCACCAACTTTTCAGATTTCTGGGAGAAAGAACAAACTTTCAAACTCTGAGTTCCACAGGCTCACTACTCAGTGGAGAGATCTAAAGACTCATATTCCATTTTATTTTACATTCCTTTAAGAAAGATACCCCTATTTAACCCACCATTTGTATTCCTTACTATCTTTCTGGTTTGCCACTTTAAAGTTTAATGACTGTCCACCTGAGAGCAGCAGGATTTATGAAAGGGCACACGGGTTCCCAGGAATATGCTATAGATTATTTTAAGGGTCATGGGGATCAGAGAATATTATTGAAGGATGCTCGAGGTAAAAAAGTAGCTTCTTCTAGAGACATAAGAGGAAAAGAGTAAAGAAGAGTCACTGGTTGGCTTCAGCTTGGAAAAAGAACCAAAGATTTTTACAGCATAAGAGAGGAAATAGCATGGAAAAAAATGAGTCTCCCTAAAATCTGGCAAATTGGAAGTTTTAGAAGAGAAAAAAAAAATCCCCCAAATAACCTAGAATACCCATTTTATATTATTTATTGCCTCAACTCTCCCAATCAGAAGAACCTCTTTAAATTCCATCTGAAAACATCTGTCTCCACCTATTAAATTTTTTACTCCATTAATAGGAATTATTTATTCCTTATGCAGTTTGTGAAGAAAGCTCTACTCAAAAAAAGATCATACGTGCAACAGGTGAGGAGACAAGATGGTAATAGAATTCATTTTGATAGAATCGTCCGGGCAGGTATTAGTAATTAAGTAGGATGACAGCCTTGACAAGGGTCACAAGCTAGTGATTAACAGGACAAGTAATCTGAAATCAGATTTGGGGGTCACTAATAAAAGTAACAAGGATTCTTACAAACTTCAGCCAGAAATGGGAGAGGCAAGCCACAACAGCTGCACGTGGACAACGATTAAAAGAAAAAACAAAAAACAAAACAGAAGCAATAGAGTAAAATAATTAAAACTTCCAAGACCCTTTTTTCATTTTTAAGAACACACAAACCATGAGGAGCATTCAAGCGACCCCTCATTGGGAGACAGACCAATTGCAGCAAGAGGCAGTTCGGAAAATAGGAAGCCTAGGGGGATGGGGGTGGAGTACGGTACCTCTTGGCGCTGGTAGAGAGGAGTTTGGAGTTTTTGCTCATGCTGACTTTACTCTCCTTCTTCTTGGGGGTGTTTGTTTCTTTCTCGGTTTGCTGGTTAGAGGACGAAGATGAGGAGGAGCTGGTGCTGGCCCTCGAATCGTCATCCGACATAGCGAACCCCCCACCCCACCCCGCAAACAGCCCCTGCAAGGGGAGGGAAACAAAACAGAAACACACAAACCATGCAGTCAGTATAAATAAGGAAATCGGGTGCTGTCAGGAGGGCTTCGGCCAGGGGTGCACCCGGCTGCCCACCGCCCTCCACTCGTTTCTCAAAGTCTACAGGCCCATTAAGGCTTTTGCAAATCGGACGCGGCTTGTTTATTTTTGGCCCCAAGTGGGGGACGCGGTGGGAAAACGGTCCGGGGCAAGGCGAGCGGCCCCTCCCGCGCCCCCCGGGGCTCCCCTCGGGGCTGGGAGGGGAGATGCCGAGCAGCCGGAGGAGGGCAGGGCGGGGGCGCGGAGAGCCTCGGCGGGGCAAGGAGGGAAGGTCCCGGCGGTGTGCCGGCCTCGGGGCTGTTTCTGTCGGCTTTTCGGGGGTCGCGGAGGGCGGGTGGCCAAAGCGAGACAGCGGGGGCCAGGAGTGGAGTTCGGCGAGATCGGGAAGAGAGGAGGGGCGGAGAAGAGTAAGAGAGGAAGCCGAAACGGGGGGACGGAGGCGGGGAGCGGGTGCCCGGTGGGGGAAGGGAGAGG